TGAGTACAGTATGGGTCAAACCACAATTAGCCTATAGGATTACAAGTATAGCCGCTTAGCAAACCTTGACCCAGTAGAGAAATGAGTCCTATATTAAGGTTCATGGAGGAAATAAAGACATTTGGGGGAAAGAATGGGTTCAGATGTTCTGGTAACCCACCTGAGTGACAGACACCCATCTGGACCAGGTGATGCTACTTACAGTACAATCTCAAGTTATTGCTTATCCCCTAGGGAGGCATGCAGGCCTGGCCATTGCATCTGCATCTTGCGCCTCCAGCCACAATTCTGAAGTCTCTATTTTTAGGCTGACTTCCTTGAGAGCCCAGTCCCTGTCTGACTATGTCTTAATTTCTAGTTAACTAAGGTACCTATAATAAGAAGAAATAATAGAAACTCAGATGATTCATTCCACAGCCCAAAAATATTCACATAAAAATGATTATAATACTGTAATTTAAGACAAAATAATTAAAATACAAAATATAAAGAAAAATAAACAAATCGACTTTCACTTTCCTTTGAAAACCTTTGGGGCTGATGTGAGGGAGACAAGAGAGAGGAGGGTTATTTTGTAGAATGACTTTCACTATCACTAATGGAATCACTAATATCTGTTGCCTCCATGGCATCTTATTCTTTTCTTCTTGAGCTGCTATTACACCTGTGTGTTTCAACTTTCTCTCTGGTTCATCTGTATTTCAGATGCAACACAAGCTTGGTTCACATGAGGCAAGGGTTTTCACACTGTGTTGTATTGTTTGGCTTGACTGTTTCTCCCCTTTATCTTCTTGTGCAGCTCTAACAAAGAACCTATCCAATGACAATTGCTTTTCCCTCTTTTAGAGGAGGACTTCACGGAAATGTAGCATTTCATCGTCACTAAACAGATTCATCACTCACCTGCTACAGGTGGTGCTTTTCTACACAATTTCACACTCTTTCCCACATTTTATACATCTCCCTAGTCTCAGTTGAAGTGAGGAATTCTCTAATTTTTCTCCTTCATGTCTGCAGACAAGATCTCCTCCATAACCTCTTACTGTTGGGAGAGGATCACCCGCAATCCTTCAGAGAGAGAGCAAGAGAGAGTGGAGGGGGGGAACCATTGGCTCGGTTGTGATTATGTGATGTTTGGCATCACATACTATTCATATTGCAAGACATTGTTCATTTATCAAGTCAAAATTTATTAGAAATGTTTGCTGGTCTTGAGGAACACTCTCAGAACAAGTTACAATCCATGGCTTTTATATCCTTTCTGTCTCTGTCTCTGTCTCTCTCAGCAAATATTTCAGAGAGAGAGAGAGATTGAAAAAGGCTAGAAATGGCAGAGGAAAAAGGTGCCCCAAATGTATTTGCAACTGACACCTCAGCACATCCTGTGGGAAACATTTGCAGGATAATTCATTGTTCAAGGATAATTCCTAAGGTGTACAATCAGTAAGCAACATTCTCTACTGTGAATTTGAAATGACCTGGAGAAAAGCGTTCCAGAATCCACTATACCAATGACTACTTTGTGCTGTCAACTGAGAAATACACTTTTGCTTTTCGTTTGTAGTCATTAATGTTATTATTTTCTGCATTATTGGGTGCTATGTCCTTTTTTATAATACTGGGGATCATATTCAGAAATGCTCTACCACATGGCTGCATCCCAAGGCCTTTTATTTTTTACTTTGAGACAGAGTCTCACAGAATTGCCCAGGCTGGCCTTGAACTTGCAACCCTCGTGCCTGAGCCTTCTAAGTAACTGGAATTACAGGCATGCACCACAGTGCTCAGTTACACTATTAGTTTTTGTTTTTCTTTTGTTTTTGGTACCAGGGATCGAACTCGGGTCCTTGCCCTTGTGAGGCAGGCAGCAACACTATTAGTTTTTGATTATACTGTAGGTGGTATCAGGAGACAAAGTTCTGTGAACATGTTCACATTTAGGTACCCTCAGGTTTCAAGAGCAAAGAACACTGGCAGTTGGGTTAAAGGCTGATTAATATTAAATGCTGATTCTAAAGATAGCGATACAGAGATGTGTACTCCTGGAGTCACTTTTGTACATTCTACAGTGGTGAAGACCATCCCTCCACTTTGCAGAAGATTTGGATTTATTTTCAATCTAAAGCAAATTCTCTCTCTCTCTCTCTCCCTCCTCCTCCTTCTTCTCTCTATACTTTGCCCTTCTCCCTTCCTCAGTCTCTCCTTTTTTCCTTTCTCTGTCTTCCCTGGAGAAGAGGAAAGACAGATGTGTCGGAGAGTCCCATATGACCCCTGCCTCATAACGCTGGGTTGATCTCCAGAAGCGCAAGCCTCAGAGCATGTGCAGTGTGCACTAGGGAATTAGGGACTGAGGATCTGATGTAAGCAGCTCTGTGAGTGCCTGAATGTCCCAACCCTCAGAGTGTGTGTGTGTGTGTGTGTGTGTGTGTGTGTGTGTGTGTGACTATAGCAGGGAAAAAATGGACAGTCAAACTTACTGAGGGCTGCTTTCACCCAGTGTTAGTAATACAGCATGCTACAAACTGCCACACTTCTAATGTCATAGTTAAGGAAAATACTTTTGGCTTGAACATAACACAATATCTCAGATCTTTCACAATTTCAGATCTAACAAGTGGAGCTACCTAAATTGAAAATATAGGTCTAGCTATAAAACTAAACACTTAACAGCATATTCAGCTAAATAATTCATGATGTGTCCATAGCTTTACTTTCTACTTCTAATGTACAAGAAAGTATAAAATGCTTAATAGCATCTGGTGTAAATACAGATAACTATTTTTGCTAAAGTCCAAATTAGGAAGCATTATGTATCACTGAAAAAAAGAAACAGATACGTTATTTTGACAATCTGGGGGCCACTGGTGAGATTAGGGAAGGATTTAGGGAGATGGATGTCTCTTGGCTGGGCCTTGAGGGATAATAAGAAGTAAACATGTATTATTTATGAGACTTTTGATCCCTAGTGAATTATATAATTCACTAATAAAGAATGACAACCCCCCCCCCGAAGAAAAAGAATGACAACTTGTTGAATACTCATACTCCAGGCACTAAGTTAAACAAATTTTATTTTCTAGTTTATTTCTTCCAAACATCCATGTGAGATGATAATCAGTAGTAGTAGTACTACTACTACTACTACTAGTAGTAGTAGTACTAGAATTTTTAGAAAGGTTGATTAATGTCTTTAAATTGAATAGTGGTTGGATGTTAGAACTGAAATCTAAAGAAGCTAATGATAGAGATAAGGCTTACAGAATTCATTTTTCCAACTTTTGGTCAAAAGAGGCAAGTACACAAAAGCCAGGAGACAAGTCATCTTGGACATGTTTGAGGAGCACAAGTCTCAAAACTCAGGGTCTAGAGTTTGTTACTAATTCTGTTGCAATCTTAGATAAATCCCTCCACCTCACTGGGTTTCTGTATCAGTATCTACAGCACATCCATCAGGCTCCTTCTAAACCTAAATTTCTAGCAATTTAGAAGGAACTAAAGTAAGGTAATTTCATGAGCACAGAGACAAGTTTGAGTAAATACGTGAGAAACACTGTAGAAATGAAACGGAAAGGCCTTAGGAACTTAATATGAGAGTCAAGACGGAGAAATCAGGAGAGAGCATTTTAATACCAGATACTCAGAAAGATCATTAAAAATAAGAATCATAGGAAGAGCATGGGAGAGCAATCTGAATTTATTTTAGATATTGATTCTGAGATGCTAACGAGACAAATAGGAAATGTTCAGAAGACCAATTGACAAAAGAGCCCCAGAATTCAGATGGGGAGTTTTGACTAGGACCCAAATTTTGAAACTATTTCCCTTGACAGCAGAATTGATGAGATTGCTTAGGGACAGGCTGAGGAAAAAAGACAGTAATCAATCAGAACTGGCTATGATGATGATTAAAGGAGAAATGGAGCACTGGGCTTTAGACAAGAAGAGACCAGAGAAGCAGAAATTCACAGGAAGCCAGGGAAGAGAAGTTTTAAGGATAAACGATGTCAGATCAAATGCTAAGTGCTCTGGAATGTTACTTGATCTAAAAATGCACTAGTTCAGAGAAGCGGTGCTGATATAAATCAGAGGTTTCAGAGAGAGAGAGAACAGTGTAAAAGGTGTCTGCAAGTCCAAAGTGCATTAAGAGGCATTTGCAGGAAAAATGATTGGAGAAAGCATCAAAACTGTGGTCCACATATCACATTAGAATCACCAGGGGTGGTTGACTGAAATGCAAATTCCTGGGTCTCCCTCTAGAAACACTAAATCAAAATTATTGGGGAGAATTCTTTGTGTGCCTTCATTTTAAATACCATTGCCCCTCAATAAATTGAATGCATTACTACAAGTTCTTTCAACCTGGTATTCTACTGGAGCCAGCCAGTAGAAGAAATGGGAAAACTGATAGAGAGTAATCCTGAAAAGCCAAAATACAGCCTAGGAAACTGTATAAATCAGCTCTCCCATCTCTGAGACAAAATACCTAACTCCTACAACATAAATAAGGAGATATTTATTTGACTCACAGTGTCAGAGGTTTCAGTCCATGGTCAGCTGCCTCCCAAACAGGAATATCATGGTAGACAAGCATGGTGGGGCAAAGTTGTTCACTGAAATGCAGCCAGTAGCAGAAAGAATGGGAAGAGCCAGGGTGAGAGATATACCCTCCAAAGGCACAGTCTCAGTGAGCCATTTCCTCCAACAGGGACCTCACCTTCTAATACCAGTCCCAACTATGAACTCAGCAATGGACTAATCCATACTACCCTTATGATCCAATTACCTTCTAAAAGGCCCACCTCTGAATACATGAGATTTTTCATTACATTTCAGATCTAAATAATAACAGCCTCCACAGGAAGGATCAGCCTAAAGAAAGATTCCACCTGTTCCCAGTGACATTCTGCTCACCATGGTGGATCAACAGTGTTCAGCATGGTCTCTGTGAAATGTATCATGTTATGGCTCCTCTCTTGGTAATAATATCTCACTGTCTACAGTGACAGGCTTGATGCCAGAGACGTACCAGAAGCTGAAGTCACAACAGAAGCCAGAGCCCCCGATGAGTTTTCCAGTCTTCCCAGTAGCAGCGAGGAGAGTACAGGCAGCTGGTCCCAGCTAGCCAATGAAGAGGACAACCCAGATGACACAAGTAGCTTTCTGCAGTTCAGCGAACGCTCCTTGAGGTATCTGCTGTTCTTTTGACATCCCAGGGAAAGTGGTCTTCTCAGAAAGTTCCAAGAAATGCATTTTATAGTTAGTTCGCTGCAAAGTCTCCCCAGTAATGAGAGAAAAAAAGGAAAAGGGAAACTCCCACTAAGTCAAGGTCCTTGCCTGTCATGAATCATGCTGAAAAATATCTTAGTACCCACTTATGCCTCAGATTTCCTTGAATAAAATTAAGAGGTAGCTGTATTCCCTTCCTTGAAAGCCCCAGCTAATGTATTCAGTGCACTAGAACTAGGACTAGGACTGTGATTTTTTGTTAATAGAGAGTTGCTATTACACTTTGTGTATTTCAACTTTCTCTCTGGTTCATTTGTATTTCAGATGCAACACAGGCTTGGTTTACATGAGGCAAGTGTTTTCACACTGTGTTGTGTTGTTTGGCCTGATTGTTTCTCCCCTTTATCTCCCCTGCCCTCTGTATTGTTCTCCTGGAAGAGACAAAGTTGCTTGGGAGGGGTAAGATTTGGAAGGACTTGAGCCATTAGCAGACACAAACTAAAAGCTATTGTCCCATGAGATGGAATCTCTAAATAAAATCTCTCTGTGTCTGTTCAAAGTCTTACAGTGTATTTGCCACTGGACCAACAAGTCCACAGGATTTCCAGAGAAGCCAAATGGAGAACGAGATGCCAAAGCCAATGGGTGTACATAGGGATCTTTTGAAAGTTTTATTTCTGGCAGCTGTCTGTTTACACTTAGGAACATTTCATAATGTTAAAAAATTTGTCTAAAATTCCCCAAACCAGTGGGAAATGTCACAAAATAGAGACAAAAATCAAAGAGAACTTGAATCTTTGGCTTTAACCGCAGAAGTTTATAGGGTTAATCACCGCCACTGCAATTTTGACTCATCAGATTGCAATCTGTGAAAAGACTGAGTAGGCCACCTGAAACTTCAGACAAGAATTTATAATTGCAGGCACTGGTGGGTATTGAAGGAATATTATGCCATTATATGGCACACCATCAGTTGCCCTTCCAAAACCTTGCTTGGAAGAAACATCCTTGTGAAATAGAGAAGGTGTGAGGAGATTCAGTGAGTTTGGTAAAATTGGATACTTTCATTTCACAAGAACAGGTAGAGCCTAAAATTTGGCTCAACTCTACTGTGTTTCAGTGAGTAAGCACCAGCTTAGTAAGTAGACCGTATGTTAATTGTGCAGTCTACGAAATTGATGCAATATATTATCCTCCTTCTGGATAATACATCTGGTGTTGTGTGTTGCTCCTCCTCAAAAATTGTAAGATAAAGGAGTGATAAAACTTGCACATTACACTACTTTTGTGCCTGTAGATTCTTTCATCCATAGTGAAACAAGCCAGGTACATTTACTATGAAATCCTATGGAATGTCCCTGAGAAAATTCCACTGAAAGGCAAAGAGAGAACATAACTTCCTATCAAATTTTCCAGGATGCAAGGAGATATGCAATTTGGTATCTCCCAGACAGCATTTTCAGGAGTTTCTCTGCAGACATACCCAGCAAAAGGAAATATCTTCCTGAGAAATGAATACTGTCCCTCTGATTAGATTGAGCAAGAAAAGGGAATGCTGGTCGTTACTTGCTAGGTGTGACTCAACTTCAGAAATTAAAAATTATTATTATTGTTGTTGTTATTAGCTTGAGCCTGTCAGGCTGCTTTCTTGTGTTTTTTTCCCCAAGTGATCAGAAATATGTATCTACAAAACAGTGCTCTCAAGGGGACCAAAGAAAGACCTCTTACAACAGTGGAACTAAGTGCCAGCAGCATGATCAGGGGGTGGAGATGGGCATTAATATGTAAACTTTTGCTTTGTCAGCAATGGCAACAGTAGTGCCACTAGCAGTCTTGGCATTCTGGACCTGGACATTTATCAGGAAAGCATGCCATCTTCTCCCATGATTAAGTAAGTAGCCTCTGAGATGCAGTGATTGTGAGACCACTACTCCAATTCCATCCGGCAATCCATTCTGATCATTCAGGTTGTGCCCAACCACCAATTTCATTGTGTCTGTGCTGCTGTGGGTTCATGTCACTAGGATTCAGACCTAGAACAGTCCCTGCCCTATTAGCCCCTGTTTTCTTGTTTCAAATCTGCCCCCTATGGAATAAACATTTCACATAAGGCTTATCAAAAATTCCATTTCAATTGTACCTGCCACCCGAGGAAGACTTTTCAATAGCTTCACTGTACAATATGGTCACTTCAATACAATCAAGTGTGAATGGCTTTCCCATTGCTGTGGACAGTTGTGATTATCACTACTACATATGTCAGTAAATCTGGTTACCATGACAAAGATGTGTCATCCCCACCCAGCGACTGCTCTCCACAATATGGGGACTTATAAAAGACCAATGGAGAAACTACTTTAAGAAGCACAGTAGATGCCACATCAAATTTAACAAAGAAGGGAAGGGCAACATGAGGTCAGGACTACATCTAAAATTTGTGATTACTCTGGAAAATTAAATGAAGTCTAGGTTTGACAATTATGACAACTTATTATTTGGATATTTCTGAAACTTTAAGCAAATTAAAAAGACGTATAGGGACTAAATTTTCACCTTAACCTATTTCCTCAATCATTTGTACCTGAAGTCTTTTCATTTCATCATTGAATCAGGCATATTCCTCAGTGACTGAAGGCTGCAGTGCATCCCTCGTTGTTATACAGAGCCATTTTCACAAGCAGAGATGAGCATACACGTTACCTTCTTTTTTAAGAAGAACCAAAAAAAATCTACTTTGTGGTAAATTAATTTTCTCCAGCAGGAAAGACTTTTTTAGCTACGGTTTTCATCTCTCTCTGCAATAGATGTGTATGACTTCAGAAAAATCTGTGTACAGGGAAAACAAGATCACCACCTCCCATACTCAGCATCCAGTTCCTCATATTAGCAGAAATTGACTACCACTTGCCTTATCACTCACGGCACTCATATGAGATACAGCAGAAAGTCTAGACCCTCAGGGAATTGACATTTCTACACACAACTAGTAGGAAGTGAAAGAGTCACTCTACAGGACTCTTCAACCTCAGTGAAAGTTATCACTATCAATGTAATTGATCAACACAAAGGAATTTTATCAGCCAGACATAAATAGTAACAAAGAATATGAGAATATCTTCTATCAAAACACGTATTTTCAGATCCTAATTACAAATTTCTAGAAAGTATAAACATATAGACCACCTAGAGGCTTCCCAATATAGTCACTTCCTTTCCGCAGTTGTGCCATATGCTGTCATTGTTTAAGTTTTACTGAGTTCTCTCACCATGTACAGGCTTTTAATAAGTACACATCATGCAAAAAATATCTCCAATATTAAACATTACTATAGCTGATGAACTATTTCAGTTCTAGAATGATTCCCTAGTTCTAGAATACTCCTGCTCTCTTAGACTTCTTCACAAGAAAGGAATAAAAAAGACTAATTTCAATCCATTAAGATATTTTGCTATAAAATGATCATTGGTTTGTCTTTCACCTTATTTCTGATTTTAAAAAAACAATATATATGTAAAAAACTATTATCCTACATTAAAATGCAAATATATGTTGCTATTGTACTGTGGAAAAAACATTGTGACAGCAAGGAAACATAAGGTCCATTAAATGAGAAGGAAAATCGAAGAAAAACATAAATTTCTAAATCAAAACTAGTTACCCAAAAATCTCTCCTTAACTGTTAACCCTGTGAGGGTTAACAGAAGGAAGATTGAAGAGGAAAATCCATCCTCTGTGTTTCCTACATATATTATCCTAATTAAAACCATTCCGGTTCCTGGGACTTCTCTGGTGGAGGGGTTATTTATTGCAGACCCAGAAATCCTTTGTACTACCACATTGATATTTCCCCACTTTACCTTGCTCTCTGAGAATGATAAATCTAGGATGAACTTCAGAAGCTTTTAGGTCAATGAGACCTATCACATCATCTTCCATTTACAAGTTATTCTTCCTAAACATTACCAACCATATACTGTTGTTTTCTCCCACAGTGAATTAGTAGAAGAAAAGGAGATTCTTAAAGGACAGTCAGAAAGAATAAAGGGTAAGCCATGTTCCCCTAATTCTGACACACAATTAACTGGGATCTCCCTTTGGAAAGCAGAGTAAGGTTGTGGTTGTGTCTGTTCAGAACAAGCCTCCAGACTGCCAGGGACAGCAGCCACCCACCAGAGGAACCTGCTGGTGATCAACTTCGACCTGGAGCCAGAGTGTCCTGATGCTGAGCTTCGTGCCACTCTGCAATGGATAGCTGCCTCTGAGCTCGGGATCCCCACAATCTACTTTAAGAAATCTCAAGAAAACAGAATTGAAAAGGTACCAGATACCATATTCCATGTTTGGGTAGGATACCAATAAAGCTTCATGTTTTATCACTGCTGAAAACTCACTTAATACACAAGAGTTGGAGGCATTTGATCTTGACTTTTCTTGACCTCAAAAGTGTGGCGAGAACTTTGAAATTTTCCATCCGTTTAAATACAAACTTGATTGTAGAATCTTTGACTCGCAATTTGTTTTAACTAGTTGGTGGTGGTAAGAAAAGTAAATTGAGGAGAAGGAACTTTTTCGAAGTTATTTTCAAAAGATATTTTTTAAATTTAATTTGGTATTTCCTACCTCAAAGTCGAGTCTATGCAAAATACTCAGTTAACTGGTGAAGGACAGGCCCTTAATTTGTACATCTGAATGCTAGGAGGTCTGAACCATTGGTTGTTCAAAGTAGGACTGTCCCATGGTGTGGCAAGGGACAGTTGTGCATGTGTCACCTGTGGTTCACGCCAGTGGGATCGTGTTAAAGCAAGCACAGGAAAAAAGTGACCTGTTCTATAATAATGAGGTCACCCTGATATGTAACACAAGCTGCAACATGGAGTTAAAGGAAACACGTTTTTAATTTTCTACTAAGCAGGCTTGCATTATTGGAAATTTCTCATCATTCTCTACCTTCTGGAAATAAAAAGTTGAGGAATAGCTCCTTAACCAACATTACAATTAATAGCACTTCCATGCTAATTACAGAGCTCTAAAACATACCAGTAACTGTGTTAGAATCTCAGCCATTAAGATTAAGGAATGAACCCTCCTGCCAGTGTCTTCAAAGACCAGTCCCTATAATTTAAGTGTATTTTCCTTTTAAAAGATAATAATGCTGCATCAAACCAATTGCCACAAATTTATCAAGTTAAAACAACACCCAGCTCTGCAGGTCAGAGGCATGAGTGAGTTTCTGATTTCTGCCCAGGGGTGACAAGGCACAAATCAAGAACCTGACTGGGGTCTTATCTGGGAAGTTCCCGAAAAGAGTAAGCGCCCAAGCTCCTTTGGGTCACTGTCCTAATTCAGTCCTTTGCATTTATAGGACTAAGGTCTCCACCTCCTAGCTGGCTGCCACCCAAGAGCCACTCTCAGCATGTAGAGGAGTCCACATTTCTTGCCATGGCTCCTTCTTGTTCGCACACTGTCAATCTCTCTGATGCCTTCTGTCACCAGGTAGAAATAGCTCTGCTTTTAAAGGGTCTTTGTGATTAGATTAGGTTGCTCTGACACTCTTTCTTTTGACTACTTCAGACTTAACTGATGACCCTTTAGCCATGTAAATTCATCTAGTAAGGACATCTTGTTTCATGCTATTCCTGGCCTCATGGTTTGTCTCAGTTATTTTATTCCTTGCTTGGACAAAATATCTGACACCCACAGTTTAAAGAAGGAGAGATTTATCTTGGCTCAGAATTTGTAGAAGTTTCAGTCCATCGTCACCTAGCTTCAAGGCCAGGAAGCATGGCAGAGGACAGCTCGTGGTATGTCAGACATGAAGTAGAGAGAGCTCAAAGGAGCAGCGAGGGAGATGGATGCTTCCAGGCCACACCCATAGTAACCTATCTCCTCTGACCAGGCTTCACTTCCCAACATCACATTTAGCTATTAATTCATCAGCGTACCAACCCACTGGTATCATACCTCCATGATCCAATTATTTTTCAAAAGCCACACCTATGAGCACATGAGATTTTGTGGGGACGTCTACATATAAACAATAAAGGGATTAAAGCAAAAAAGTCTTGGGGCTTTTTTAGCCCCATCAGAGCCACTCTATCTCTTCCATGTTTTACCCCAAGGAGCCTCCATGTATCCCATCATACTTGTCTCTTAACAGTTCTGTGAAAAAAGCAGGATGGATCCTATTGTCCCTTCTTTACTTGTGAGCAAATTGGGACTCAGAGAGGCTGGTACACAAGGGATTCCTCTAGTAGTAGTTGAACCAAATCCCCAATGGGTACTTTCTCTATAAAACACTTCTCGGTTGGTCTTTATTAAAAAGTGTCTTTCTCAAGTTAAAGGACCCAAGGGTTACAGCTTATAATTTTTAGTGGGTATTTACACTTTAATTTTCAGTGCCAAAATCTAACAGTTTGAGATAAAACATTCTTTACATAAAATGTTCTTTTATGAGAAAAAATGGTCCATAATTAGAATAGCTCCCCATCTCTGCAGCACCAGCCAATGAGATTAGCTACCGGAAAAACAAGATCTAATTCATTTTCCACCCTATCCTACCTTTACCTCTCTCATCAACCAGTAGCTTATAGCTATTTTCATGCTCAAGTCCACCTGCTCATCTACACAACTAAATCTAGGTGTCCTCCTATCAGTGCCGTGCCTTTGTTTGCAGGATGATGAGTAGGTCATTATTTGATAAACTCTCCTTCAGTTTTACCACCTAGCCTGCCAGTGCAAAGAATGAAGTCAAAGAACATATCATCACTTTGACCCACCCCGTGTGATACACTGTCCCTTGGGGAGAGAAACACAAACATTCTCATCAGAAGAATATTCCCAGGCTCATTGAAAAGAGAAAAGGGGGCTGTTTTCAACTTTTTCTCTTACAATTCGCTGAATACAAATATTGATTACATTTTTAGGTGGTACCTTAATGGAAGAGATTTTGTTTCAATTCACCTTTGTGAACAAATAATCATTTTTATGCATAAATATATCATAAATCCCCATCTGGTACAAGAGTGAAGCATGGTTCACTAACACTTGGATTATGTAAACTATGCCCTGACTAGACATTTGTTTGGGCCACCTGATTTTCAGTTCTAAAAGAGAATGCTTGTCATTGCTCAGAACTATTTTTCTAAGAAAATAAACATTCCTCTAGCAATATCAAGAAACACACCACAAAGGAAGAGGAAAATAAGGAAGAATTAGGTACTAAGGCTTCTCATTTGTCAACATGAGGAATTGCCTTGAGCTGAGTTCTCTAGTAAGGATCCTCAATCTCAGTGCGTGTTTGAATCACCTGAGAAGCTTTTACAAACCTGATTTTCTGACTGTTTAGTTCAGAATCTCCCTGGGGTGTAAGACCCAAGCATCAGGGACATACAGAGGTCTCTGGGATTCCAACATGCAGTCAAAGATTAGAATCATGGCTCTATAACCATATTTTTCAGGAGCAATATGGGAATCAATTCAATTGTGCTTACTGAAATCATTCTGCCTTGGAGCAAAAGATGGTAGCTGGCTTCAGAAGTCTAAGTTGAACATTTCCAAAAAATGGCACAGCTTATAGCAAGCGCCATAAATTCCAACATCTGATGTTGTAAACAATCTAATCTAATCTGAGTTTGTAAATGCACCTGAGAATATCAAAGTCATCTACTATGTAGTGATTTTTTCTTCAAATGAGACAGCCAATGACAAACTGTGATGGAATATAGGTTATTTCACTTTGCTCAAGAAGTGCCAACTGGGATCTACAGAAAAGAAACCCAATTAATGTTGATCATGAAATGGTAGGAAATAGGTTTTGATTTTTATTTTGTAATATAGTGGAAAGATAAATCCAGCTTCATCACATACTAAAGCTGATTAAGACAATGCCAAGCCATTGGCATGGACAGGCGTGATGAAAACTCTAGGTGCTAAATAGAATGTAGTTCTAAAAACCTATAGTGATGAACTGCAAATATTCTTGTCTGACTTTTTCATTATCCTATTTCATTTTTATCTAATTTTTTAAAATAAAGAAAGTATACAACCTCCTTTTTCATCAGGTCAACATATCTCAAGGTCGCAATGTCCAAGATTAAATCATCAAAGCCTCAGCGCATGCTATTTTTAGTGAAGACAGATCATTTTTTTTAAAAATTGCTCTGCTGAGATATCAGCCTTGACTTAGAAATCATGCGACAGATTCTAGCCCATGGCCATTCCACAAACTACTGACAGAACAGCCTCACTGCTACTTTTCTACTTTGGATCAGCCATCAGCCTCCTGTGGTCATCACCACAGAGAGAGCCCTCTGACAGGCTCCAAATAAATGGAAGGAAGCTGAAGTTTGACTTCCAGAAAGGTCTGAGGCAACAAACTTTCTAGGAAGGGTCTAGTGAATATTGTTGTCTTCCCCAGAGCTTTGATTCTTCCTCTCTAGGCAATTACTCTGAGATGAAAGTTGATAAAGCAATGGCCCAGTGAGCTAGAGTTTGCAGAAAAAAGGACAGGAAGGAACTCAGGCTGGTTTTATATGTCTACACTTGGCATTGAGTACACATTTGTAAGACATGTAAAGGGAAAGGATGCACTTTCAGGGGATAACCTTCACTGAAGGTCACTGTTCGGGAAAATCTTGAGAGAGAACTAAGTGACATGTGCATAAACCTTTGTCAATGAGTCCTCAGAACTTGAGGTCCAGGACTTCTTCATCAGGAACACCTGCTTCCCAGATTTTCAGTCAGCTGAAAAAGGCCAATAAGTTGAATCATGCAAAGATGCCTTAGCCTTTCCCTTTTCATTCATCTTGGGACTGGTATTCAGAAACCTCATGTTTTCATTTTTTACTTCAATCAAAAACATGACTTGCATCTCTCCTACTGAGGTCTAAGTAATAGTTAACAAAGATATGTTTTCTATATCTCTGTAAGTCACCAGTAGCCATGTGAAACGTCCCCTGCCTAAAAGAACTGGAGGATAAGCAAAGCCTTCACCTAAAGGGTTTGCATCTGCTCCTAAAATGTCAGGAATCAGACAAGATGCCCACTAGAACTAGGAAGCCCAGCCAGCTAATGGTTTCTTTGAAATTCTAACACAAAATGACAGAGCCAAATGAGCTGACTCTCCATTTATGATGCAGTGAGCAGTAAAAAGAGGTGAAGAGTATCTCACTTCCAGGATGTACCTGCCAGCTCTCAGCCACTGTCATAGGAGACATGCCCCATCACCAGCTTCTATGATCCTGACACACTGCCAGAATCTCACTTTCAGCTCTGTCCAGCTATCTCCTCTATTCATAACCTCTGAGCATTTTCCTTGGATACTTTAACAGTAGAAAATGATTGAGCAAGCATTCCACAGCTGTACAAGTTTATGCTTGAATTACATATGTGCAAATATGTTACCTAAAATTCAAGAATGAATACTTAGCTCAAGTTTTTCCTCAACAAGTCAGATGTCCATCCATATTTTCTTGAGAGCTTTAAAAGTATTTGACTCACATTGGTCATCCATCTCTTCTGTCATCCAGCAAATATTCATTGAGCACTTCCTAGTTGCAGGCACAAGATACAAAAGGATGGATAAGATGTACTCCTTCCCCTGAAATATTATTATCTATAATATGGTAGTCATTCATCTTCTGCTTCCCATCTGTCTCCCTTTCGCAACATCCCAGAACTCTTTGCGAAAGCAGTTGTGTTTCCAGGTATTAAAAACAAGTATTTCGGCGCTGTGCTCTCAGGCTGCCCAAGGCCTCCACATGGGCCTGGCGGGTGGGGTGGGAGCAGGAGTGGAGGTGGGGCAGCCACTCTGAGTCCTGACTCTGCAGATAGTTTCTGTCTCAGCCCTAGTGCCCCAGGAGAGTTACTGTAAAATGGGGAAAGGAGAAGTTTGAAGGTATAGAACTGAATACTGATGAACTTCCAATGGTTTTCAAGGCTCAGCTGTTTGCGCTGACTGGAGTCCAGCCAACCAGGCAGAAAGTCATGGTGAAAGGAAGGACACTGAAGGATGATGATTGGGGGAACATCAAAATCAAAAATGGGATGACTTTACTAATGATGGGGTCAGCAGATGCTCTTCCTGAAGAACCTGCAGCTAAAACTGTCTTCATTGAAGACATGACAGAAGAACAGTTAGCTTCTGCTATGGAATTACCATGTGGATTGACAAACCTTGGTGATACTTGTTACACAAATGCTACAGTCCAATGTATGCATTCTGTACCTGAACTCAAAGATGCCTTTAAAAGGTATGCAGGTGCCTTGAGAATGTCAGGGAAAATGGCTTCAGCACAGTACATTACTGCAGCCCTTAGAAATTTGTTTGATTCCATGGATAAAACTTCTTCTAGTATTCCACCTACTATTCTACTACAGTTTTTACACATGGCTTTCCCACAGTTTGTAGAGAAAGGTGAACAAGGACAGTATCTTCAATATCTTCAACAGGATGCTAATAAATGTTGGATACAGATGACACGAGCATTGCAGCAGAAATTGGAAGCCATAGAGGATGATTCTGTTAAAGAGACAGATTCTTCATCTGCATCAGCAGAGACACCTATGAAAAAGAAAAGTCTAATTGATCAGTTCTTTGCTGTTGAGTTTGAAACTACCATGAAATGTAGAGAATCAGAAGAAGAAGAAGAAGAAGAAGAAGAAGAAGAAGAAGAAGAAGAAGAAGAAGAAGAAGA